GCTTCATCAAAATCATGGTCAATGCTTTCAATCCACAAACCTCACCGGATAAGTGTATACTCTCCCTCTCAAAAGTATATAGGAAAAATAATCGCTCAAATCAATTCAATGCCAAAGAATTACCATAAGCTTGCAAATCGTCTACTATCTCCACCACCTATCGTGCATGCACTTCATGAATCAAAAAGGACTTTTATTTGGTTGTAATGTAGGCTCTTTGGTTAGGGTAGGAAATATATGGATAAAGTGACGAAACTCGAGCATCTAGAACTACAAAACATGAACTACACCATCTCATCACCCTCCAATTATAATCAAACCACTCAAAATCAATCCATACCCCTTTCGATCAACCCTCAAGCCATAAGAAAATAAAAATCCAACCAAACTACAAATGCCTTATTCGAATCAAGGCTTTCTATATACACAAATTCATCAAACTTGACTTTTTTTTTCTTTTTTTTTCTTTTTTTCTTTTTTTTTTCCTCTTTTTATTTTTTTTTTTACAAATATCCATAAGCTCATCAACCTTAAACTTACATCATCAACCTTCCCTGTTCATCCCTTTATCCATACCACAACAAAACACTCATCCTCTTTTCACATAATATAATCCTAAATGCTCAAGTAAGGACAAGGAAAAAATATAGATATAGCTCAATATGTGGCTTTTAAGAAAATAGGCAAAAGCTCAAAAAGGTTAACTAGGGAATATAACTATCAATCGGTAAGCTAAAAGGTCAAAAGGCTCAAACAAAAAAAAATATGCCTTAGATCATTTTCACAAAAATGCACACACCATGTGGTCTCGACATAGATACCAATGCAAGTTCTAGAATTCCATTAACAATGAACGATACACTCAATCAACAAAATATACGGCTCAAAAGCTCACAAGGATCATGTATTCATGGATCAAAAACATCAACCAATCATTCAAATTCACAACTCAATTCATCATCAAATTCCATCACCTAGCACATTACGCCCGAATTATATATCAAATATGCATAAGAAACTCATCAAGGTAGATCAAAGTCAACCAACTACAACTACTAAAATCCTAAGAAAGCAATAAACGTGCTAAAGCAATAAAACCTATCATGCAACTAAATGATATGCAAAGATAATGCAAGATATCTTGTTATCTTCTCCCTAAATTTCTCAAATCTAAATATCACATCTCCCCCCCAAACTTGAATGAAATTATATGAAGCACAAAGGGAAGAATAGAATTTCAACAAAAGAAAAATAGAGAAAACTTACAAAACATCATTGAAGAGACGACAAATTGCTAGTATAGATCTCGAAGCATATTCTCCGTCATGTTAATCTCTCCAAGTAATATTCTGCAAGGACGAAAAACAAAATATCAAATAAACAAAAATATAACTTAACTAAAAGCATAAAAATAAAAATAAAAAAATAAAGCAGTAAAAATTGGGTTGCCTCCCAACAAGCGCTAAGTTTAACGTCTTCAGCCAGACGATAATGTCTATTAGGGAACTCTAAATAATGATTTTGATGATCTTCTCATCCTTTTAATTTTGACTTTCTCCCAGTAAGGACTCAATCCAAAAGAGAGATTCATGTTCTCTTCATGTTCACCAAGTTTAGCATCATTATCCCTCTCAAATTGAATGACAAAGACTTCAACATCCTCATCATATGGAATAACAAATTCAATTTTTAAACATTCAGAATTAAAGAATTTCTCTTGAATCATCCCTTCAGTGAGAATAACTGTGGGGGATTTAACTTCAAAGATGACATCCTTTTCTTCTTCATGTTCTTCGACAACGATAGAATTTTCTGGCGCACTATCTAATGGCAAAAAGCATGGAGGAATGTAATCGAGCTCTTCTTGCGATATAGGAGGTAAACTTGAGAAAGGACAATTCCCCGGTGTGTGTGACAACATCAAACCACATTCATCACACCCAATGCCTCTTTCCTCGAGTTCTCTTCTACGACGCTTTGACTCCAACTCGACCCTTTTAAGTTCTTCCAACTGATAGTTCAAACACT